CTCTCGCTGTGTCTCTCTCTGTCAAATAAATAAAATCTTTAAAAAAAAAAAAAATCCTGTTCTTACTTCTTTAAGGAAGGCTTAGATCTTTTCTACTTTAACAGTCTTCTCCCAATTAAAACTTCAACAATATTTGTGAACAGAGAATTCAAGTGTCCCCCCAAGTCCCACCTAACTTAGTGAGAAATAGGCAGCCTCTATATGGAGAAGAGATGTCAGTTTCACCCTCTCCACCCCCCAGTCACACTGGGTTTCCTTCTGTTCTTCAAATGCTCCAAGCACATGCCTACTGCAGGGCCTTTGCACGGCTGTTCCCGTAGTTGGAATACTCCTGCCCTCCTACTCTTCTGCCCATCCCCTCCTCAAGAGGCTTTCCATGGCCACACCAGCTAAGGCTGCCCCTCCACCCCTCCCTTCCCCACCTTCATCCATTCAACAAATATTAAATGCGCCTGGGATTGCCCATCTAGCCTGCAACCTTATTCTATAACCTCTGCGGCACTTTTCACAATTCAAAATGATTTCATTCATCTGTTTACTGTCTATCCCTTCCGAACACCGACTCCACAAGGGCAGGAGTTTTTATCTGTTTCATTCAATGCTGTGTCCCCAGCACCCAGCACAGTGCCTGACACACGGCAGGTGCTCAATAACACTTGCCAAAAGGAGGTAAGGGAGGGAATGGAGGAGCATTCTGGCCAGTTCTGTCTGACTTCGTACACAAAGCACAGAACCTGGTACCTTTCAAACTCTCATGCCGACAGACTCTACATAAACAGAAAAGGCGATCTCAGAAAACAATTCAAATAGTACAACCCACAAAGACAGAAGCTCGTCTTTCTTGCTTGCCACTGTGTCCCCAGAGTCTAGAAGGGGGTGAAATGCACAATAAGTATGCAATACATAGTAGCTGAAGAAATGAAAGACCGAACAACTGACGGACACAATGAATCAGGAGCACAGGCTTCACCAGAGTTTGCTCCTGGTGGTGTATGAAAGGGAGCTTCAACATGAGAATATCGGGGGGATGGAGGGTCTCTCTCTTCAAAGGCCGTATCCCAGTTCCAGATGCCCGGGTGACAGAGACAAAGAAGTGTCTGTTCCCAAAGCCCCGAGGTCACTGAACAAACCAGGCCGATTTACTCACCAGGGGGACCCAGTAGGTATAGAGGGCACCAAGTCTCATCTCAGGAACAAACTGAGAGCAGGCAAGAAGTAAGAAATAGAGGTTGAAAAAGTACTTGAACTGGTTAAACAGCACCTGGAATGAGGAGAGAGAAAAGAGGGAAGACAGTCAAGGCTTGTCTGATGAGGTCGGGGGAGGTTTAGCAGGAGGGGAACCTCCGCTGAAAGCATTCCTACCCAAGAACACAACTCCCACGGTACCTTCCATGGGAACTTTAAACACTTCTATATATTGTCTAGGAAAATACACATGGGTAATAAAAATATTTGTAAAAGTAAAAATATAAATAATGATACACAGGGAAATGATAAATTTCAAGAGAGTGGGTACCCCTGGGGGTGGTGGGCGGGGGGGAAGGCATGCCAGGGGCATTCAACTTTATCTGAGTTATTTCTTAAAAACCATCTTAAGTACAGGTAGGCCCCTCAAAACGTGAAAAGGAGGTTTTAGTGGAAAATGCCTCTACTGTAAGATTGATCAGGAAAACAAGGTAAATCATCATCTCCATGATACGATCTCAACACCATAAAATAAATACAGCAGAATCCCATCCTGGGTGGAGGTGGGTTCCAGCAGAGCCTCGGCTGAGCCCACGTGCCCTGGGCGTGGGACTGGTGCCTCAGGACTTGTCCAGGGCGCTGAGCGGAAATGACATGTCTCTCCGGGGCGAAGGCAATTAACAGCCCTTTTTCGGCCCCCTCACTCTTGCTCAGCCACGGAGATACGGGTGGCCTTGTATTCCAGAGAGCGTAGCTACAACATGGAAGAGAGTGGCCCCGTGTACACCAGAATTTCCATCAATGAGAAATAAACATTTTCCTGATTTAAGATACTGAGATTGAGGGGGGGGCAAGTTGAAGGCAGCAATGAATATAGTCGGAGTCGCCCTAAAACAACATTCAAATTGACCTTAAGCAACAGCATTACACATTTGTGTTTCTGTACTCTCAATAAATCAAAGAGTCATTATTTTTTTTTTTCCTTCCAGCACTGGAACTGGTTGCTGTTCCTGCTTCTAAAGTCAGCTGGTGTGTGTGGGAGGCTCTGGTGGATAAAAATAGGTATGCAATTTAAAGGGGCGGGGGGAGGTTTGTAGAGTACACATCCACGGATTGGTCTAAGTTAATGTGGAAACACTGTGACTCCACAGCATAAAATACCAAGCCAAACAGAAACATCCATTAGCAAAAATATCCACAGAAATTCTCTCTGGATGGTAGGAATGAAACTTACCTCTTAAAATTTTTCTCTATATTTGTGTCTCCTGACTTTCCTAGAGTGAATATGCATTTCATGACGACAGGGGGAGGAATTTAGGGACTGATGGGTTTTGGGGTTTTTTGGTGTGGGGTTTTTGGGAGATGAACAGCCAGTGGCTAAGGCAGCCTAGAAAACACACAGGCTATTCTGCCACGGGGACCTGGGTCTCCTAAAAAGCGGTCCCTGGCTGTACGTACCCCAGGAAGAAAGGTGAAGAAGTTGTACTTCTGGTTGTTGATGACATTCCGAGGGTACCTCTGGTCCCTCTTCTCGGGATGCCCCAACCATACAGTGCGGGGCCTGGGCTCCCCTCCGCCGCAGCATCGCACCCACTCACAGCACCTGTGGGAAAGACAAAATCACACTGTCAAGGCCATGTCCACACCTGCCCACTCTTCTCCGAATGTTTTTCTCTCAAGCATCTGCCCTGGGTCGGGACAAGAGCCACGAATGGGGCTTCATCCATCATGAGAAGGGAAAACGGAGCCAAGGCTTCTAAGAAGCTGGGATCCAGATAAAAGATGGTTTGTGCCCAAGCCCAAATTACTTATTTCAAAATGTAAGATTCATTTTTAAAATGAGATTTAAGTTAAAAAAATAAAGATACAGCAATACATTAGCACTATTACTTTCACATTTTGCTGATGACAGGAAAGCTCGCAACAGTTAAATGAAGCACCCAAGGAGGACCTAACTCAGATTTCCACTTCAATCTGTGTCTCCCAAATTCCAATTCTAATTACCCAAATGAAAATGTTTGCTTTAAAAAATAAAAATAAAATAAAAAATAAAGCACCCAAGTTTGCCAGGATGTGAGAAACAGGGGAGTCTGGCCTTGAACCGCCTCCATCTCATTTGAAAACCTAGTATCTTTCCAGCACCCCATGCTGTCAAGGTTGCTGGTTCCACCAAGATAACCAGGTAAAGGAGAAGGGAAAGAATATCCTCTCGACACCCAGATCTCCTTTCAGCAGTACCCCAGAGGAACCAGCCAGGAAGACAATGGCTCAGGGCCTGGTGTCACCTGGAGCGGGGCCAGAGTACCAGCTGCGGGCCAACTGACCGCCCCCCCCCCACAGCTGTCCGGGCTGTCCTGCGAGGTCAGCTCATGAGTGCACCTGCTCCCGGGTGGCCCGCACCAGGCAGGGCAATGTGGGCAGCTCCAGCAGAACAAAGACACTCTGAAAACACCCCAAAAAGGCAGCTCATCCTTCTGGAGAACCCATATACAAGGCATTTCAAGAATCACAAGCCCTCATTAAGCACTGTGATGGAAACACCCCATGCCCAATTGTTGGCCTCTGCCCCCACGTACGCAGGCCGGGAGGGAGAAACCCCCGTCTGGCCAGCCCCTCGTGACACTGCCAAGTGAAGCGAAACCAAGCAGACAGGGAGATTATGACTTATGTAAATACTGGTACACTGCGGCCCACCCTTCTCCCCCTCCTCCTATGGGCCAGGCAGGTCCTGGTGGGGTGCTGGGGTACAGAGCTGAGCAAACATGGTCCCTAGGCATCAGCAAGCTGCCTGCCCAGATGCTCAAAATTTCCAGGATGAAACACAATGCTCTTTCTTAAAAATAGCATCTTCATTCCAGTAAACTGGTGCTTCATTCCAGTAAACTGCTGGAGTGTATGTGACAAGGACAGGTTTCACTTCTCGTAACTCATCTGTGTTGGCCCTGTTCTAAGTTGTCCAAAGGCCAGGGACAGAAGCCTCGAGGAGTCCAACATGATTACTGCCCATGGATGGGAAGCACCCATGCGGGCCACCGGGGGACATGCGCTAAGTGCTGAATGAATGTGGGGGGGGATCATCGGACAGGGAGCACACCTCTCTCATTTGTGGAAGCCATCCCGCTGGTCATGACTGACCCCTCTCCCCATCCTGTAATAATCCTGTAATGATGGCTCCCATACTAATGAAAGCTGAAGAATGGATTTCAGAAAACCAAGCATCAGGTCGACTGTTTATATGCGTTTTGTCTGTGTTGTTTCAGCAGGCTCTGCACCTCAAGCTATCAGGTTAAGCCATTCATTACTTAACCTGCAGATCTGTGCACGAGCACAAAGTAGGTGGAAAGTCACTGCAGCATATGCACTGTGGCTGCAGAAGACTGGAAACAGAGGGGGCTGGTGAAATCAACACGAACAGCCACAGCAGTCCTTCAAGGAGAGCGAGAGCTGGATGCACTAAATGGCCCCATTCTGCAAGATATGCTAAATCGAAAAGCAAGAGCCTAAAAGGTGTGTCCAGGATGCTCCTCTTTGCATGAACACAAGAGGATCCACAGGCAGACATGCTTCAAATGCAGCACTGGTTCCCTTTGGGAAGGAGGGAGTAGGGACTAGGGAGTAGGGAGACCTTCTGCTATGTATTCTTTAGTTACAATGTTTCATATTATCCAGGGACTCAATGTGGTTCTTCCCCAGCTCAATTCATAAGAGTAAGCATTTATTAAATATCCAGCTGGTAGGAAGTTAGACTAGTCCAGGTCCTATGGGGACCGAATGTTGGAACGGGATCCTTGCCTTCTCCTTCCTCACAGTCCCACTGCAAAACAGGGTAAGTGTTCAGGACAGGATAAAATAAAAACTTTGTGTCACTCGAGCCCAGTATAATTGGCCCCAAGGCCATCTCATTTAGTCAATCTGACGGTCACTGCATTTACTCACTTTCTGCATGCACTGGCTATATATACCTTGCACATTTCCAATACATGATCAATCCGACTTTCGGGTCAACAGTATTTATTGAACACTAACAACAATATAAGTAATCACTGACTCTTTTTTGTCACCTGCTATGTCTTGTGCGCTCGGTGTGCTAGGCCCTCCCCTGGCACTTGGGCATTCAGGAGTGAACAAAACAGACAGGTCCTCCCCCTCTGGAACTTCTACTTTAGTGGAGGGAGACAGACCATAAACAACCACCCAAAATAAAATAAGGCCTGGGCAAGAGAGGGTGTAGGGGAGGGGTGTGGCTTTGGAAGACCAGGTGGTCAGGGAGGCTGGTGTGACAGCTGAGCTGAGGGACAGGTAGCAACAGCCATGTGACCATGCAAGGAAGTACAATCTGGGCAGACTGGAAGGGAACCCCAAGGGCCAAGATCCAGAGGTGGGAACCAGCCTGGTTACACACTTGCCTAGAAAGACTGTTGTGTACCAACCACAGGGGAAAGAAGGGAGGAAGGAAGGAGGGAGGAGGAGGAAGAAGAGAGGCCAGATGATACTGGGCCTTGTCTCTGGGGCAGGGAGTCTGGATTTTACTCCATGCACCGTGGGGATCATGGAAGGGTTACAAGCAGGAGGCGGCATGATCTGATTGACATTTTTAAAAGTTCTGTCTGGGGTGCCTGGGTGGCCCAGTCGGTTGGGTGACTGCCTTCAGCTCAGGTCATGATCCTGGAGTCCCTGCTCGGTGGGGAGCCTGCTTCTCCCTCTGACCCTCCCCCCTCTCATGCTCGCTCTCTCTCTCTCTCATTCTCTCTCTCTCTCTCAAATAAATAAAATCTTTAAAAAAATAAAAATAGAAGTTCCGTCTGGATGTTACACAAAGACATGCAGTAGGTTAAGAGTAAAAACAGATCAAGAGGTGTGAGGTTCCTTTTTGGGGTGATGGGCATGCTCGAATATTGACTGTGGTGATGGTTACACAACTCTACGAATATACTTTAAAACTGCTAATTATAGGGCGCCTGGGTGGCTCAGTTGGTTAAGTGACTGCCTTCGGCTCAGGCCATGATCCCGGAGTCCCGGGATCGAGTCCCACATCGGGCTCCCTGCTCAGCGGGGAGTCTGCTTCTCCCTCTGACTCTACCCCCTCTTGTGCTCTCTCCCTCTCTCAAATAAATAAAATCTTAAAAAAAACAAACTGCTAATTATACACTTCAGATAGGCGAACTGCACGGTATGTGAACTGTATCTTAGTAAAGCTGTATATTAACCAAGAAAAGTAGGAACAGGGAGGTCATCCAGGCAGCTACTGTCATCATCCAGGCAGGCAGAGACAGTGGTCCAGACTACAGTGGTGGCACTGGGTACAGATTTTCAAAATATCACAGATGTAGAAATGTACTGTCTTTAAACAAACATTAAAAAAAAAATGCACTAGGGGCGCCTGGGTGGCTCAGTCCGTTGAGCATCTGACTCTTGATTTTGGCTCAGGTCACGATCTCAAGAGTTGTAGGATCAAGCCCTGCCTTGGGCTCCACGCTCGGCACAGAGTCCGCTTGAGATGCTCTCTCTCCCTCTCCTTCTGCCCCTCCCCCCACTCACGCATGCTCTCTCTCTCTCTAAAACAAGTAAATAAATAAAATCTTTTTAAGAAATAATTTTAAAAAAGGAGAAATGCACATTTCATCTAATGTTCACAATAATCCCACGTGGCACATACAAGCATCGCCCCCATTTTCACAGTGGAGAAACTGAGCCCGAGAGGACTCAGTGATTTCTCCAACACCTACACTACTTTTGTTCCACGCTGAGTGGGGGAAGCTGGCCTTAAGCCCAGGCCTGTGGGATCCAGATCCTGAGCTAAGAGCCTGAGAGCGCCTGAGAGCACCTTGCACTGCCATGAACAGCCTCATCAGCCCAATTATCTTACAGCTTTTTTTCCCCTAGGCTCTCATCATCTCAGAAAGTTGGAAGGATCTTTAGGAGCCCCAACAGCAATGGCTGCCATGCTGCTGGGACAGAAGTTCTCCTGCAGGCTCATCTTCGGGCCAGTTGCGAACCTCCCGCCGCTCAGCTCCACTACCTGTTCTGGGACAAAGGACAGAGTCCCCTCCTGCTCTCCCTCATAGGCAGCACGCTGCTAGCTCTCTCAGCAGAGGACACTGGGGGGATACCACTGGAGGAGTCTCTCCTGGGCTTTGCAGGCAGAGGCACCCAGTGGATCAGTGCATGGGTGTGAGGCCACCCAATGGTGCTCTGCCCAGCCACCCGCCCAGGATCTGCAGTCCCTTGGAGACCTCTGAGCCCCACTGTGGAGACTTTCCCGGGGCCCTCGCAGTATGGACATCCTGCCTCCTCTGCACCAGCACCCTGATCCCCTTACCCCCAGGCTTGTCTCCTGAAGTTCTCCTGTCACTGTAGCCCCCGGTGTCCCAATCCCACTGCACGCCCAATGTGTCAACCACCAGCTGGGCCTGCCACCCCACCTGCACCCCGAGATCACTTTCTGCTTGCCCCATGCCTGCAGACCAGCTCTCGCCCTGCCTTCCGGCAGCCTGAACTCAATTACACCATCTCCAAGTACATCTGTACCCCAGCCTTGGGGAAAGGCCCCCTTCCAAGTGCATCCTTCCTTGGGTCCACTCCCTCAGCTCAGACTACCCCAGA